GATTATGTTAAAAAAAAAAGTGTGTCCTAAAGTGGCAACTTCTGATTATGATTGGTTGGATTTTTTTTGTCCTTTGCTTTAACAAATTAGATAATTCTAATAATAATGAGCAAGAGAATAAAACAACTAGAAGTTTAAAACTGTTCAAATACGGTTAAAAAAAAATTTAAACGGTCATTTAATACATGCTCTAATATTAAAATCATATGTCATACTTTAGTTTATAGTTTGTTTTAAAATGGTCAGGTTTAGAGTTAAAAATTATTTCTCAAATGTAATTTCTAATGGAGACTAGCTGTTTCGCAGCTCATTCAGTTTCCTGCTCTGGCACAACACGGCAACATCTCCTCAGTTGTGTGTCCCGTACTTGCCGCCATACACGTCACATCAGTCCAAATATGTCTAATAAAGTGGGAAAAAAAAACATAAATATGTCGCTTCGCCGTAGAAGTTGCATCTATTATGCCTCACCGCTGTTGCGTCGCGTTTGTTACACGTCACCGCTGACGACCCTGAAATGTGGGCCGGTGTTTTAACAAAAATCGATGAGCTGCCAAATGGCAGCCGCGGGAACATGCACGGGAGGACTTTAATAAGAATTTAACAAGATTAACACTTAAAAACAATTATTTGTTTGCTCGAAATTATAGTAAAGGTGTGTCTCTTTAATTGGTCAAATCAGTTGCATTTCAAAAGCCAATTCGCAGAAGCTGGAGCGCGCAGAGGGACGACTCACTGTGCATTTCTTTGAAATTTAATAAGATAACCACCTAAAAACAATTGTTTGCTTGACATTATAGTAAAGGTGTGTCTCAGTTTAATTTTTCCTTAATAAAAGGACTTTGATGGTCAAATCAACTGCATTTCGCCAGGGTGTGTCGTGGTTAAATGCAGCTTTTTTGACGTTTGCTCCAAGAGTTCCGGAGCGATACGAAGGTGACTTTGTATGGCAAGCCAAGTGTCTCATTAATAGCCACCTTTACCTATTAATGAGACACCTGGCTTGCCATATTGCTCGAGGGCCCTCTAGTGGCTGAAAATGGTAGCGTTCAATAGTTATGTCAGAATAAATGTAATTGTCAGATCTCAGCCAAAAATTGGATTATAAATATGGAGAAGAAAAAAACATAAATATGTCACTTCGTTGTTTAAGTCAGAGGCATGCTAATTTATGCAAAAAGGTGCGACTTATACAGCAACAAATACATTAAGTTAAATACCAGAGCAAGGAGGTGAAGCGTATAGCCTGCTGGGCTAGAGAGAGGCTTGGAGGCATTTTTGCATCCAAAGTTGAAGCTTCAGGAAAAAATATTTTTCCTTCCCAAAGACGACCGCGACCAACCACAACAGACATTCCAGCAGACTGTGAAAACTCTGCTCCAGATGTAGCTTGTTCAACTTTTCATGTGTCGAGTGACGGACGTGTGTATTGAAGTAGGGGCAGATCAGGGCACATTTGATTTGTTTTACCCAAGTTTGTTCTTCTAAGGCCCGAACACTTGGTTCAGTTGTAAACGGGAAGCACATTTTATTCTTAAACTTGTATGGAGGTGCTGTCGGTGCTTACTGACATGGGCTTTTGGCTGCACTTTGCTGAACTGTACAAGCTTTGACAAAGTGGAGAAACGGCTACAAATTAAAGTGATGTTGCTTAAATTTACACGGTCACAATTTACATAATTCATCAACGTACAATTCATTTGAAAGCACTATTTTTTTTTACAAGTGCTTTCATTACACAAAATTACACTCAATGCACTCAAATTCACAAACTTTATTAAAATTCTGATTTTTTTTTATTTTAATATGACATTTTTGGGGAAAAAATAAAATAAAATCTAAAGCATGTTCAAAACCATTCTGCAAAACGTTCAACTTAAACCCAGTGTTGTAGCTTGGACAAAGTGGTGTCTGAATGTTAAAATAACACTTCAGCTAACATTAGCTCTAATATCTGATGCCTTTGGACACACTTTTTTTGTTTTGGAACAAGAAAATGTTGGAAGTCAAAACTGTTGCACGTTCATCCCTCAGCACCCAGACTGTTTATTTCAGCTGCCCAGTGTCAGAAAGTGGCCAGAAAAATCACAATGATGTCACGAGAAGAAAGTTCCCATATAAGGCTGCATGCAGATCCTCTCCCTTTATTTGGAGTAGAAGAAAATGCAAAGCAATTTGGAATTGTAGAGAAATATGAGCTCCATTTCTATCCAAAACAAACTCTAAAGGCCCAGATTCCTCAATTCAAGGAAGTTTGTTCATAGCAGAGTGGTTAGTCACTGCACAGTTCACTCTGTGCTGACACTAGCAGACCTCTGTTTAATGTAATTATTTTTGGTAATTTCAAAGCTTCTTACTTCCCACATAATGTTGAGGCATCATTTTCCCACAGCACATGCCTGGCAGGATGGATTCAAAGGTTATGATGTGAAAGAAAATGTTTTTTTGGAAGTTTTTTTTCTTCTTCAGCGTGTCCAGAATGATGGATTAAACTCCCTTAAAGCAGATTTTTATGGTTGTGTCATTACCTCGTGCATCTGAAGGTGTCCACAGTAGTGATGAGGGGGTGGAAAATGGCATAAAGGTCAGCAAAAACTGAAAAAAGAAAACTAAGCCGCAATTGTTATCAGCTCTTGAAAATTTGCTGCTACGTTTGTACCTAGTCTCCCATGTTAATAATCTTTCAGATATTTCGTTACGGCTCTGCGTGGAAAGTTATCCAGGATGGAAAAACTGCAAACTTTGGTTTTCAAGACCAGTGCATGGGTGAAACCAGTTAAAAAAGCTGAAGTTTGCCTTTTCCCCAAGGACAACTGATAAACCGTTCGGCAGGAAAGGCCTTGCAAACGACTGCATTCCTTTTAAACTGTGTAAGGGTATTTCTACAACTGAAGGGCCAGGCGAGCAGGCATCTTTTGTTTTGCCCTGCAGCGTCAAACAGGAAAGACCGGTTTGTGTTGTGGCCCTTTTGGGAGTTTGGTCCCAATGTCACAACCCACATACCACACTTTCCGTCCTAAACGTCGCACCGCCAAATGCCGCATCAGTCCAAATATGTCTAAGAAAGTGGAAAATAAAACACAAATACGTTGCTTTGCCATATAAGTCGCATCTATTATGCGTCACCACTGACCACCCGGAAATGTGGGCCGGTGTTGTGCCAAAAATTGATTGGCTGCCAAATGGCATCCTTGGGAGGACTTTAACAATAATTTAACAAGATTAACACTTAAACAATTGTTTGCTCGAAATTATAGTAAAGTTGTGTCTCAGTTTAACTTTTCCTTAATAAATGCACTTCAACGGTCAAATAGCTGCATTTCAAAAGCCGATTTGTGGCTGCAGGAGCGCACAGAGGAAGGACTCGCTGTGCCTTTCTTTGAGATTTAGCAAGATGACCATCTAAAAACAGCTGTTTGCTCGAAATTATAGCAAAGGTGTATCTCAGTTGAACTTTACTTAATAAATGCACTTTAATGGTCAAATCAGCTGCATTTCTCCTGGGCGTCGCAGTGAAATGCAGCTGATTTGACGTTTGCTCCAGGAGTTCTGGAGCGAGACTAAGGTGGCTTTGTATGGCAAGCAAAGAGTCTCCTTAATATCCACTTAATATACACCTATTAATGAGACACTTGGCTTGCTATATTACTGGAGTGCCCTCTAGTGGCTGAAAATGGTAGTGTTCAGTATTTTCCATGTGAGAATTATTGAAATGGTCAGATCTCAGGCAAAATATTGAGTTATAAATATGGGGGGGGGGGCATGAATATGTCGCTTTGCCGTATAAGTCACAGGCATGCTAATTTATGCACAAAGATGTGACTTGTATGGCGAAAATTACGGTATTATTCTATAGCCCAAACTGTCTTTGGAGCGTCTTCACACATCCCTACAGATGTGATGTTGTGGTATCGCCCACAAAGAAGTCATACAGACTGAAAACACGGTTTATGTCTAGATGAAAAAATAAAAGATTAGTAGGAGATGGTTTTTCCCTGGAAGCTCTCCTCTGTCAAAGCCGTGCTTGTCCTTTGTGTGTTTACACTAGTCATTTCTTCTGTTTTTAGGGGCACAGCCCTGATCAACACCCCCTCCTCCTTCCCTTCTGACCTCTGAGCATCCCCAAGAGGTGAAAAGCCCTCGTGCAAGCTGTTACTGTTACAGTCTGTCTGCTGTAGTGAAAGCTGCAGCTCCTCGGGGATTCCTGGAAGCAAATATAATCATGTCCTGTGTGGATTAAGAAAGAGACCCTGGTTTTGTTAAACCAAAAGTCAAAGCTGTCGTTCTTGAGGGAATAACTTTTCCGTCAACTTAAACAGTTAAAGACGCTTCAGACTTCCTGTGGGAAAAAATGTAACATTTGCATAGTTGGAGAAAAAAATCTGTGCATGTAAATGTCTGATTAGCCCAGATTACTAAATTAAAGTAAATGATGCTCTAAAATGAATCGGATTGTGTCTTGGATTTCATTCTCCGTATAAATGTTTACCGGTACTTAATTTTTGTTCTGGTAAATTTTCATGTATTTGAATGATAAATTCTAAGATATCCTAATAGTTTTCAAAAATATAAAAACTGTTTAATTTAGTGTCTTTACATGTTGAGTTCAAATTATTGGCATTTAGCCGTTTTAACATATTTCACTGGTTTGTTATAGGTTGAATATAAAAAGATTGGTTGTCTGTTTCGTCAGATCTTTTATTAATAAAACCAAAAAGAGGATTCTACGTGAAGACGGTTTTAAAAAAGGCGTTTGTTTAAAGGACAGTAAATTATACTCGGTGATCCTGTGTATTTTCAGGTCACCTGCATAAGATTGGAGCTTGGGCTTACAAAAAAGGTCAAACTATGCAATAAAATAAATATTTATTTTCTGATTCTTTCATTTTTGCCTTAATTTTATGATTTTGCTGTGATTTATTGCCGTGTTCAACTTTCTTAGTGCACGTTTTCTACCCTACTTGCTAAAGAGTAAATTTTCTCCCACTCCTCTCTGTCAGAGCCTGGATGAGCTGGATGATGACGAGGACACAGGAGAGAAAGACAGAAGGGATGAAGAGGAGTTGGTTCAGGCCAACACGTTCCAGAATGAGTCCATGACAGCCGACCCCAGCACCGGCTACTTACTGGTAAGAAGTTTAAAACAAAGCCTGATGTGTTTGTCAGAGCACGGCACGGATCACTTCATTGCTGCCAAACAGAGGCACTGTTGCACAGAAAGTCGGGGAGTTCGCGTGAAAGGCAGCAGTGATGTAAAACACTCAGGTGTCACAGCATTTCATCATCACTTAGAGCTCAAGGTGTTAACTCAAATACATACAATGTTATTTAGCTACATGGATTGATGGTTTTTGGTCATCTTTTGTTCTTTTTGAAGCATAACAAATGTTACATAAATTAATCTTTATTTAAATAATGAATTGCACTCATGAGATGTCCTTTCAGACTGAGCCTGATTCATCAAACTTCATTTTGTTTTCAGTTTAGATTTATGCAAAAGATGTCTAGTTTTTAAGAAAAAAGATTTTTCTCTGCCACAAAATTGCTAATTATTCAATTTGAAAAAGAACACTTGCAGAGATTTAAGTAACATTTCCTATGCAAAGTGAAAACATAAGATAATTGGTTAAACTGAATTGCTTGAAATTTTATTTTATTTTTTAAAAGATTTATAGTCTGAAAAACTCTGCATTTAATTCCAAAGTAATATTAAATGTATTCATACTGATTTCCAATAGAAATCTGAGCCCAGAAAAGGTTAGAAATGCATCTAGCTGTGTACGAGTGACCAAACAAACTTTCTGTTTGTCTAACAAAGTTAAGTCAGGTCCTCTGGACGGGTTCTTTGTTGAAACGTTTCGTCTTTTATCCATTAAACTTCTTCAGTCTAACTGCAAGCAAATTCAGTCCTATACGCAAACCCACCCACACAGACCAGTATTTGCAGTTTGACTCCCATCACCCTTTGGAGCAGAAGTTGGGAGTCATCAGGACTCTGTACCACAGAGCAGACAGCGTCCCCACTAACTCAGGAGCCAGGCAGAAGGAGAAATCCTACACAAGACAGGCTCTAGAGCAATGTGGATGTCCTAACTGGGCCTTCCTGAAAGCAGAGAAGAAACCCAAACAGGACTCCAGTCAACCATCAGGTGAAAAGGAGGAACCCAGACCCAGACCAGTGGTCATTCCATATGTTGAGGGAGTATCAGAGAAACTGAGATGTTTATTTTCTAAACATAACGTCCCAGTGGCTTTTAAACCCCAAAATACATTACGGCAAAGACTGGTTCATCCCAAAGATCCAGTCCCCCGGCACAAACAGAGTAATGTTGTGTATGCTGTTCAGTGTCAGGAGGGTGATCAGTCTTACATCGAGGAAAATAAACAGTCACTGGCCAAAAGGATGGCCCAGCACAGAAGATCAACACCATCAGGCCAGGACTCTGCGGTCTACACTCATCTCCAGGACAGCGGTCACTCTTTCAGGGATGAAGATGTTCACATCCTGGACAGAGAGGAACGATGGTTTGAGAGAGGAGTAAAGGAGGCCATCTTTGTGAAAAGAAATCGTCCATCATTAAACAGGGGTGCAGGCCTCCGGGTTCAACTGTCCCCCTCTTACAATGCTGTGATTGCTAGTATCACTCAGCCCTCTGTGAACAGTAAACAGCCACCAGTGTGCTAATGATCCATTGTTAGGCTGATGGTCCTTCTTGACCATGTGAACAGCTGGTTTTGGATGTTGACAACAAACTGGTTGATCCACTCTGAGAAGGTGCTATTTATAAGACTGAGTTTGTTGCAGCTCCTCAGACTAAAGAAGCTTTTTTAAAATAAAGACGAAAGATTTCAACAAAGAACCAGACTCAGCCTTGTTAGGTTTATCTACCTGGATTATGGATCAGGTCTATCTTTTTGTATTTCTGACTGACATGAAAATTGTTATTTAAAAGGAAAAATAAATCCAGATGAACCTCTCGCTGTGTGATAACTGCACAGATGAAGGTTGGAGCCACGTTCCAGATGAATTGGCTGTTACGCTTCAGTGGGCTTATTTTGTTTTGGGCTAGAACTGTCTGAGGCTGTTTACACGAAGCGAAGGCTAGCGTATGAAATATGTACACAAACACTACGCTAACAGGAAGATTGTGACAGCACCTACTGAGACGTGGTCGTGACGAAAAACAAAAAGCAACATATTCAGCTATTTATATAGAGCAAACAAACAATGAGCAGTTCAGAACTATTTCTTTACCTTTTCCACACATCTGGTTTGTTTTCAGTCCATCTTTTGAAACCGAATATTCCACCTGATTCTAATCTTACATTTCTATATTGGCTCTAACACTAAACACATGTGGCTACGCTGAATCTTACCTTTTCTATATCTCACTGTCACTCATTCAAAATGGGTATTTTTATTCTGATTGGTGTCTTGTGGGTTGCTCATGAGCAGCAGGGATGCAGTATTTTAATGGTATTCTTACAGTTGTCAACCAGGCACGTGTAAAAGTAGAATGGGTAAAAAAAAAAGTTCTGTCAAGCCTCATGTATCACAAGGAGACAAGTGTTTGTCACTGCTGGTGCCATTATCACATACTGTGTTGATTGCTCTCAACAACAAAACGTGTTAGTTTAGCTCTTTTTTTTTTAAGCAATGTGGTTGGTACCTTTCCTCCAGGTTTTATAACGTTTTCCAAACAAAACAAGGTGCAACTTTTCCACTAGATGTAACAGAAAGTTCAATTTGGGTCATTGAGGGCAGTTCCAATCCAGTAATTGTTTTTCTGCAGACACGTGGTCCAGGTTATCAAACACTGCACCACTGTGTTATGCAAGTTCTGCCAAAAAAATAAATAAAAAAGTCCAGTTCTAGTGAACTGTGGTAAATCTGCTTTAAATATGACCCCAAGTCTCTGTCCACGCTCTAACGTGGAGCAGATAAACGTTCTGCATCCTTTGCTCTATAACAAGCATCACCCGCCTGTTTTTCATTTTCATCTCAGTCCAAATGTGGTTCTGCTGCAGAACGTCTTGTCTGAACAACAGGAAAGCTCGTTTCCAATCACACATTTCCTGCAGGAACAGAAGCTGCTTTTCTTGCACTTCGTTCTGCTTTCTGAAACAATACCTGAAAATATTCACACCTCTGATTCAGAGTTTCATAAAATTCAAAAATTAAGCCAAATAAACTTCAGTAATGTTGATCTTGAGGGGAACAAGAAATGTAAAGACTAGACTTCAATTTGAACATTTAAAAACATGGAGAATGGAGCTGCAGATAAAGTATCAAAACATTTTTTCTTCTTCAAGCAAGAAAATCACAAATCAAAAATACGACAAATGTTTAAAGTAAGCCTGCAGGAGCTGCGAGTCGAGACGTGTCGTTTTTTTACCTTCAGTCTGTCTAAATCTGGAAACCTGACGTCTTTTTCTCCAGCTGTCTTCAAACTCTGACAGATACTTAATAAAATGTGTAAGACTATTGCCAAACGTTGTCTAACAATAGTGCTGTAAGGTTGAAGATGGTTTTAACCTGAAAATTACCAGAGAAGTTCTGAGTGAAAGTCCGTAAAAATAAAATCAATGTTTTCGTGTAAATGACACATTACTTTTTTATTTATTAAAATCCTGGAATTATCCATTATCTCCTTTTATCTTTTTTAAACAGGAAGTTAATAGATGCCTCGAGTGAAACGGTAATCTGAATGTCATGCTGCTTTGGGCAACAAGGTGAAATCCCCCAATTTACTTCAGTGGAGCAGAGATTTCTTTAACTGAATGAGCTGACAAGTTCTAAATGATGCACCACACTAGGTCAGACACTTGAAGGCTTTTATGCACACTTTAGGGAGTGTAGATTTCTGCAGAAAATCCAACGACATCGTGCTAATATTTATTTGTGTAATGTCTGCCATTCACATTGCAAATACAAGTTGAAGAAACTTCTGGGATTACAATGATTATTTGAAAAACTGATTTAACTGTAGTCTAACTAATAGCAGCCTGTCATTACAAAGGATTTTTGATAGTTTATCTTGACAAAAACATTCTCAGTATTTTAGTAAACCAATTCAGTAGTCCCTCGTTTATTGCAGGGTTACGTTCTGTCAGTGTCCTGCATTCATGTTTTGGTCCCGACTCGGCTCTCATGGTCCCACCAGAGAAGCGGGGACAAAACAATGTGCCGAGTCAGCCTGGAATCAGCTAAAAGGTACTGTGGAATAGTGATTTTTCTGTGGAGGGCTGAGTAGAGTCATGGATGAGTAGGAGCATTGCAAAAGCCTCATTTGTGCAGCCATTGAGCACCAAAAACCTTTTGGAGGGAGCTGGAACTTCGGATGGTCAGCACGGGACCAGACGGTGGTCAAAATCAAATCCAAATCCGAATGGAGGAGGAAAAAAAAAGTCCCAGTGGGCTTCAGAGAGAACGCCGGACCTCCGGGCAGCGCCTTCCCGCTCGGAAGGTCTAGTGGGTCGTCAGGCAGATGAGTCTGGAGGTCCGGTTCTGATCCAGTTCCCGGTCGGTTCCATGCGGCTCTCTACATCCGCTGAGCACCAAAGTCACTTTGAATAAGGATCAAACTTTTTCGTTGCTTCTGGTTGGAGCTCTGTTGGCTTCTGGGTGGGCAGCACGGTGGCGCAACTGGTAGAGCTGCTGCCTCTCAGCGAGCAGGTCCCTGGTTCAAACCCCGGTCCAGGGGCCTTTCTGAGTGGAGTTTGCATGTTCTCTCAGTGCATGCGTGGGTTTTCTCCGGGTGCTCCGGTTTCCTCCCACAGACCAAAAACATGCATGTTAGGCTGATTGGTAACTCTAAATTGTCCCTAGGTGTGAATGAGAGAGTGAATGGTTGTTTGTCTCGTTTGTCTCTATGTGTCCCTGTGATGGACTTGCGACCCGTCCAGGGTGTACCCCGCCCCTCACACAGTGATTGCTGGACATGGGCACCAGCGACCCCTGTGACCCAAAATGGAATAAGCGGGTAAAGATAATGGATGGATGGATGGATGGCTTCTGGGTAATGTAGTCCTTTTGACTGGTGATACAGTGGAGGCTTATTGAGAGAAAACTACAAAATGGCGGTTCCTGTCCGAAGTATATATTTTTTCGTTAACTTTTTACTGTACTATATTGTACTGTCCCAATCGCGTAATCTTAAAGTAGACATTCGTGTCGTGTACTTTTTTTTTTCTTGTTTACGATCTTTGAAAAATCGCAAAAGAGCGAGTCTGCGAAAGTCGAACCGCAAAGTAGTGAGGGACTACTGTATATTCAAATTATACTAATTTATTTAATAGATCTAATACTGTTTAAAATTTGTTGACACTTCTTTTTTTATTTTATTTTTTACTTTTGTGTTCCTTTTTAGATGTAAAGGCATGCAGAAGTTTAAAAAAACAAAGCAGTCATAAATCGTAATGCTTCCCAACGGTAAACAATTTAATATTGACATTTTGTCCTGTAGATATAGAAAAGTGTATTTTTTAAGTCAAATTAAAATTGTTTATCTAAAAAACAAAAAATAAGAAAGGAAAAGGTGACTCAGACGTGTTACGGTTCATTCAGTGGGGTCATTCTCGGTTTTAGATGTGCTTTAATATTTTTAGTGATTTGTGAATCTGCAGGGCTGCTGTTACACTCGGGCTGTTTTTCAAGCTCTTTTTGGGTTGAGTGATGTGCTCTTAAACTTAGCAGGGGGTGACTTTTTGTAAGAGGAGTCTCAATTATTTTCATTCTAGAAAAAAAACTAAAAACTTTCTGCAGCTTTTATTCTCTGCTTCTGCATCTCCAAAGTGCTTTTTCAAAAGCCTCGGGGATGTTTTGATCGGTTTTATGGTTCACACAAACCTGTCTCGTTTACAATGAAGCAACTTTGTTTGCCAATTTTTGTTCAGTTTAATCTCATGTGTGACATCTGCTTTTAAATAATAACAACAAAAAACTCAAACTAGGCTTGCATTCTTCCTGTAGTCTGGAATACAAATTAATGTCTTTATAAAGCTAGAGAAATAACAAATGTCTGGTTTTAGTTGAGTCAAATATTTCATGAATAAACCATCCTTTCTTTTTTTTTTAGAACAGATGCTCATTGTTTTATATTGATTGTCTCTTTTTGTTAGATGTTTAAATGTTTTAAATAAAATAAAAAAAAAATTGGCTCGACCAGAACATATTTTTATTTTATTGCAAAAAATTTATCATATTCAGACTCAAACCTGCAGACTGAACTCCAGGTCGGATTTCTTTATTTTTTTATTAACATTCATGAAACAGAGCTGTTGAAGCACAGCAGTAAATACACACTTACATTCAGTGTTTTTAGTTGTACATCCCTCCTTTATCACGGGGTTTCCGTACCCTGGCCCTCCCACAATGAGGGGCCGAGACGGGGTAGAGGTAGGGCAGCTGACTCAAAACCAAAAGTCCCAGGTTCGATTCCCCCAGTCATTCCCACATGTCGTGATGTCTCTGAGCAAGACGCCTAATCCATAATTGCTCCCCGGGCGCTCGCATAGCTGCCCACTGCTCCACCTGAGTGTACCCCAGGTGCAATGGGTTAAATGCAGAGAACTAATTTCATCATTGTATGGAAACATACAAGGATGACAACACATAACACTTTTAATTTTAATTTAATTAGTAAGTGGAAAAAAAGCAAATTAAGGATACAGTGGTCCAAGTTCAAGTACAGTAAATTTAATTTTGTTCTATCTAATGTATCACATGAGATGGGAATGACAATAATGTACACACTTAGTAGTAAGTAGTAGTTTATTTTAGTATTCATATACAGGTATATATTGGAGTTTTAAACCCTTACTTTTGCAATATTCCTAACAATTTTCTAAACTCTTAAACCTTGTAAAAAATATTAATTTTAAATGGGTACTCACCAGAGAAGATGAAACTGAGATGAAGAATTTGCTGCCAGGTGATGACGATGAAGGTGATGAAGATTCGTTAATTCATTCAACCTTTATTTATACAGGTTAGTCTCAATGAGCCTTGAGGACTCACTTACGAGAGAGACCTGTTTTTAACAGAGTGATGACAACAGTGGACAACAATAGACAATAATAATAAAAAAAAGCATGTAAGAATAAATTTAAAGAAAAATGAAAGAATGAGTTTGTTTCAGCAGGCACAAAGTTTCCCATTGGCCAATTTTTTCATGAATCATTCAATTAATCATATTAAATTGGATTAAATTGCAATAATTAATCCACACGGGGAGTAGTGGCACAGAGGTTAGAGAAGGTGGGCCTGTTATGAGAAGGAAAATAAATACAAAAAAATAAAAAATTTCTGATTAAAACAAAACATACTGGATCTCAGACTTTAATATCACAAATGGAATAAGTCAGATGGGATGTTGATCTTTGAATTATAATTATCTATTGAGTCATTATTGTCTTATTGCCTGCATCAGACACTTTTTCCAAGAGCGTTTAATCATTTTATAAATCACTCAAACAATTTTCAGTCGGGTCATCTGGACAGTTTCTTTTTTTTCCTGAAACATTTAACCTTCCATCCAGAAGGCTTCATCAGTCAGGGAAACACGCAACACAAAACTGATTCTTCCCCCAAACAGCTTACTCCAAAGTGGAACAAACCAGTTATGTTGGTGCTAAGATGGTCTCTTTGGCACGCCCCCTCCTCCGGTGCCGGCCCTCTTCCTTGTCGACAGTCATGTCAAACTGGTTCAAAACCAACAAAGTCCATGCTCAATAATCCAGGTATACAAAATTGTTGGATTGTATACCTGGATTATTGAGCATGGACTTTGTTGGTTTATAAATCACTGTCTTTTTTGTTTGTTTTTTAAATAATGGCATAGTCTTTATTTAACCAAATTTTTTATCTTTGTCATTTAACACATTTTGTGATGTTTAAGTTAATTATTTGACATGGGGCAGGGATGGTGCAATGGTTAGAAAAAGTGGGCCTGTGATTGGAAGGTCGTTGGTTAGACTTCCCAGACCGACAACATAAAAATGTGGGTGGGAAAGGTGAAGCACCCACACCTGCCTCCACTCTCATTTGCCCCACTCTGGGCCCTTGAGCAAGGCCCTTAACTCCCACCATCTGCTCCCACCAGACACCCTAGATGCAGCTCTCTGCTCCACACAGAGGGCTGTGGTAGCTCGGTGGTCTGTGGTTGTCAGGAAGGGCATCCAGTGTAAAAGTTATTGCCAAGTCTTTGTGCGACTTAGTTCGCTGTGACGACACCTGAAGAATGGAGCAGCCGAGAAAAAAAAAGGAAAAAATCATAATCCACATGACCACTGCAGCTTCCATCTTGACAATCGTGCCGTAGGCAGCCACCACCATCCACGTAGGTACGACCATCTTTAAAGTTTGTCCAGAAGTTCCACTTTCTCTTTAATCGTCAGCATCTTCCACTGACGTATCAGTTTTGAACACAAACCTTTGGAAGCCGTCCAGTTGAAAAAGAGCAGAGGTAAACGGATGTCTTGTGCTGGAACAGCCAATCAGCACCCGGATAATGTAACTACGCCCTGTATCTTAAGAGACATGCGACATGAATTAAATTTTACGTTTGAAAGGCCGGTTCAGCAGTCATGACATCGCTTTGCAAAAATACTGTTCGGCAGAAAACAGCTGCTGGAGGCACCACAGTACAGCACAGCACTGATTTGAGGGAACTGTAGTCCATCTGGCGATTACAGTACAGTGGAGGCTGAATGAAAGAAAACTACAAAATGGCAGCACCTGTCTGAATAATTTTTTTGCCATTAACTTTTTCACATCCACATGAGCTCTGTACAGCGATATTACCGTACAGTCCACAATTGTGTGGAAAAATAAATTAAAATACTACTTTTTCACAATATTTAGTCTTTTTTTAGATGCGCTTAAGTTGCTCCATACAAAGTCCTTGTAAATCTAAAAGGTGAAGGATTCTTCTGCAGGTAACAAACAGTGTGTCGGAGATAGACAGGCAGCTGTGTGCAAAGAGAGCGACAACAGTCGAGTTCTGCCTGACAGACTGCAACGGTGTCACGGCTCTTCAATCAAACTCAGGATCCTTCACCGCACAAGACCTCAGGACAGACGAGATGCGTGTTCATCTCTCCGAACGGGTGATTTTTCTCTGAAACACCATTTTCCAGAAGGCGTTTACACTCATTACTACTCTGTAGATCTAAACAATCTTTTAATCTCTTAAGATGATAAAATAATGAGAAAATGGGGGAAAAATAAATCACCGTGTTGCAAAACGTTGCCTTTCCCAACGTGGAGCTACAGGGTTCCAGTTGAACTGTTAAATGGAACAAAGCACATCTGTATCAGCTCAGCAGCTGCAGTTTCTAAACTTTCATACACAACCTAAAGGCTTTCTATTAATGCTGTTTCTGATGAATTTGTCTTTTTGTCTGGATGGATTTTCTTTTCTCTTTGAGCCAAAACAACCCAAGGCAGATGAAAACAATGTGCCGGCTGTTTTTTTCTGCGATCGCTATTTGAAAGGGTCTGCTTATGTCGAGACATATTTATGCAAATAGGACATCATGTTTCCCTTTGTTTGTTGCAGGAAACTCCAAGATCTGGAATTGGGTGCCACAAGAGGTGAGATTCATGCTTTCTTATTGGAAATGGTTCAATCTTCTACTAATCTGACAAAGCAAACACTAAAAGACAAAAAATGCTTATCACCGCTGCAGACTTTCTCTGAAATTAGAATGTTTTTTTTTTCTTGCTGCGTTTATTTTGCTGGTTTTGTTCAAGAAGAATGACGACTGTTTGTTGGACACCATCCGGACCTATGACACTGTGTTCAGGCCATCACTTCCCTGCTGTGGCAGGCAGACAGCGTTCAAAGTAAATGATTTGCTTTGAAAGGTTTTGTGTCCAAAATGATGGGGTCTGTTTGGTCAGGTTTGCTGTGGCATTTGATGAAAGGCTTTCAAAGTTTTCCCCTCTGAAAAACCCACAAATACGTTTTTTTTTTTTTTGTTTTTTTGTTGCACTGCTGCCTTTTGTGAGGCAGATATGTAGTTTTCCTTTTAGTTTATGGTCTACTTTATAAGATGTTGTGGTTAAAACCAATCCTCAACACCAACAAAAGGTCATATTTGTTCAATAAAATTAATGTGCGACTCTTTCTTGCACCTTTAGATGATTGTCTAGTTCACCAATTTTTTTTCCCCAAAAATGTATTTGTTTTCTACATCTTGCAACCAAAGAGAGCAGTTGTGGCCAACCCCTTGCCTAGTCGTCAAGCTGACATTCAATCTGTCCAAGTAATTATGGCTTCTGCTCCCATCAGCTGGCCTGGCCACACTTGGATGCTCTGCAGCTCTGTGACGGATAACCTGCTAGGTGGGCCGGGCAGCACAAGATGGCTAAAAGACAAACAGTACACAACACTGTCTAAATGACTGCTTTAGAAAATATTATCAAGTTGTCTCAGCTCATTGTAACACTTGTTGGAACTAGGCCTGTCACGATGACAAATTTAGCTGGACGATAAATTGTCTCAGAAATTATTGTGATAAACGATATTGTTTGAAATTTGACAATAATTAGTCATTATTGTCAAATTTAAGAAGAAATGTTGGTTAATTTGTTTTGAATGTAGTACCTTTTTTCGACCACCGGATGGCAGTATGACAGTTTGAACCGAAGGATGGATAGTGAGGGAGCGAGCATAGTCTCTTCAAGAAAAATAAGAGGGAGGCTCCTTGACTTGACATGGGCTGTCTCTCCTGTTTTTCGGTTCTCAAAATGGCAGATGCTCGGTGTGGTTTGAGCTCTTAAACAATTCCATTTTTCACACAACGCTTTTAATAAAAAAAATCAGTAAACAAGTTCTCGGCTTCTTTTTGCAGAGGAAAAACAACTTTTTACACAAAGGCACATATTTCAACTGTGAATTTTGGAGCTTCGACAAGACAGTTTTTTTTTTTTTCCGAGGTCAGGCTGTTAGCTTAGCTCGTAGCTTAGCTTCTCAGGTTAGCTACTTTTAACGATTCAAAAATGTGATTTTGGATGGTTAAAACGGATTTTAAAGAGAAAAGAGAGAGGGTGGGGTCAGTGAAGAGCACCGGAGTTGAGATTTTTGTCATCCAGTGTCTTCAGTAGAAAGAGAGAGACATGAAGAAACGATAAAGCCGATAAATGAAAACGAGGTTGATAATTTTCATTTATCATGCGATTAATCGATTGATTGTTTATCGCACCAGGCCTAATTGCAACGAGTGTTTTAAAATGACCACGTTAATGTCTTAAGGTTTTTCAAAAATCTTGACTGAGGGCGCTGTTCTTTAAAACTTTATTTCACAAATTGTGGTCAAACTGTAAACAAACATTTGGTGGTTTAATAAAGAAATGCCTGAAATCGCCTGTCACCTTTGATGTTGGAGAGTTGAGCTGAAATCATCTCATGATAAAAACCTGTTTGTTACCGTGTACATTAATTAAAGTACGATCTTGTAACATTTTCAAGGTCTTCCAACAAAGTTGAATCAGGTCCTCTGGATGGTTTCTTGTTGTTGAAACATTTCGTCTTTCATCGAAAAGCCTTCATCAGTCCGTAGTTTATTGATTTATTTATTACACTATTACCTGGATTATTGTGCATGAACTTTGATGTTTTGGACTAGGTTGGCCATGGCTGCCTCAGAGGAGTCGGCGTGGGAGAGGGTGGACTCCAGAAACCATCTTAGCACCATGGTTTGTCCACTATGTGAAAGTACTATTTATGACAGTTTGGTGTGGCTCCTCAGACTGATGAAGTCCTTTGGATGAAAGACGAAACGTTTCAACACAATGAAACCGTCCAGAAGACCTGACTTTTTTTTAACCTGGATTATTGCACATGAACTTTGATTGCAAGGTCTTCTTCTGTCTGCGCTTAGAGTATTGTAGATGACTCGGCTACTTAAATAAAATTCAGAGAAGAAGAAAAAAACGCTTTGAAAATGCACGATGCTCAGCTTCTCCGAAATATCTTGAAATGCTGCAAAAATGTTTTAATCAGTTATTATTGACTATAAGACATGAAGGTGAATATTTATGTAAACATTAATTTTATTGTAATGTACAACTCTGTAGAGTTGATGAGTTGAATGTGTTGGTGCTTTGTTGGCAGGAGCTCCATTAAAAAGAGTCACCTTGGAATTTGTTCATAGACTGATAATTATCTAGCTTTGTGAGACATGCCAACTTTAAATGTGGATGTTTTGACCTAGAATCAAGCTGTAGTGTTGGATGTTTTCCCATTGGATAGTTTTTCTTAAGAATAAATAAAGATAAAGTAATGAATGTTAAGCAGCTCATCTTGCATAACACAGGGGCCCTGAGCAGTTGTAGGATTCACCACCAAATCTCATTCCTGCCTGTTGAACTGAAGTCCCAGCACCAGTTGAGATATGAGTGATTGGTCTCAAGCAGGCAGCTTTAAATGGAAAAATATGTTTGATGTACAGCGTCAGGGTTGGACAAGACGCAAGTAAAACATAATTGCCATGTTTGGCTTTATTCTGTATGGACTGTTGAGTTTGTAGATTAAAGCTGTTTTATCTGCTGCTGAATCCTTCTTTGTGCTTTTGCCCTTCCTCCTGTTGAGGATCCCAGGAGTGTGTGGTTGGTGCAGCCTCTCACTCCCACAGACCTCACTCTGCGGGGTGCTAATGGGCCACGGTGTGATATTAAGTCTCGAGGCCACATGGATGTTTAGGGTTGGCTTCAGCCCCCGCTGTGCATCTTCAAATACCCTTGTGTGCATCAGCTGTATGCAACCAGTGACATCAGGAGATGATGCACAAATGTAGAAGCCTTTTTAAAAGCGTCACACTGAGTGGATGCTCTTTGTAATATGTGTCCATGCAAAAACACTTCAGTGTGCACTCATGCTGAACAAAAGTGTATCCTTGAAGATGCACAAAAAGAGACTCATGAAATGCACTTTGTCTTTGTGTGGAAAGGGCCAAGAAGATCATTTCAAGGAATATTTTGATCAAAAGCAAAGGCTTCTGAGGTTTGGCTTTATGCAAGAAGGAACAAAAATAAGCTCCTGTTTTTTTTTTTTTTTTTTTTTTAAATGTCCAAGTACAGGAATCTACCTCATTTGTACTGTTTGGTAAACAGTGGCCTCAGATTGAAACCATTGTACTTCTGTTTTTACCAAAGCATATTTAAATTTTGTCAAGTCCCTAAATTTTACTAAAAACAGCATGATTAAAAAGTACTGTAATTTCTGGACAGTAAGCCACTACTTTTTTCACACTTTGAACACTGCGGCTTATACAATGCTATGGCAAAGTTATGGATTTTCTTTTTTTGACAGGCTAACGAGCTTCAGGCCACCAAAACATTTAGCCTCGTCACACCAGGTGCCCACATAGCTGCCCAATACACATCTCTCGGGGTGTGTGTGTGTGTGTGTGTGTGTGTGTATGTATGTATATATATATATATATATATATATATATGTATATATATGTATATATATGTATATAT